TTTTGGGACAGAGAGAGACAGAGCATGAACGGGGGAGGGGCAGAGAGAGAGGGAGACACAGAATCTCAGATTTTCTATTTCTTTATGAAACAGTTTTGGTAGTCTATGTTATTCAGAAATTCATTTGATCTAGGTTTTGTAATTTGTGGTATACAATTGTTCATGTACTCTCATAATTGTTTTTATTTTATTTTGAAATGGAAATGAAAATAATCTTACCTAATTTATGAAGGTCAGTAGTAATATTACAACTTTTGTTGATGAATTTAAGTAACATGTCTTCTTTTTTTCCTTTCAAGCTAATGTTGGGGAAATCTAATTTAAGACAAGATCATATCCCAACCCAGATATATTCTCTATTGAGAAAATAAAGGAAAATCTCAGTAATATGGATTTCGGAAGCCAGAGAGGGAGCTCCTGTGCCCTGCCATTAATCATCAATTGCAATAAGTACCCAACAGGGACCTTCCAAGTCAATACTATTTTAACTATTATTTCACTATCCTAGGGTAAGAAAAATAGTTTTTTTCTCATCCTGCAGCAATAGCTCAGCCAATGAGACAGTAACAGCCCAGCCATTGAGAAGGCACCATATGTTGAAGTCCCAGTGTAGTCAAATGAATCTTCTGTTCACAACAGTCTTTCCAAAGCCTGCTTGCTCTAAGAAAGAGAGTCCCTCTAGTCAATGTTCCAGACTTGCCTATGGTGTTGCCACAGCTTACTTGTCTTGAATTGCAATCCTCCTCTATTCCTAAATAAACATGACTTTGCTGGTAAGATAACAGGCAGTTTTATCTTCAAAGTTAACACCACAGGGGCGCCTGGGTGGCTCAGTCGGTTGAGCGTCCGACTTCGGCTCAGGTCCTGATCTCATGGTCTGTGAGTTCGAGCCCCGCGTCGGGCTCTGTGCCGACAGCTCAGAGCCTGGAGCCTGTTTCAGATTCTGTATCTCCCTCTCTCTGACCCTTCCCCATTCATGCTCTGTCTCTCTGTGTCTCAAAAAAATAAAGGTTAAAAAAAAAAAAACTTAACACCACAGAAGTAGTCAAGAAAGAAATCCATTTTAATACTGAATTGTCATTAAACCAGAATATGATGCTCATCATGGGAAATCCACCAAGGTATTATAAAGACAGAAGGAAAGAGATTATAAAGGCAGAAGGAAATCTTACCCTTTCAGGTAGCCAAATGGAAATAACCTATCACGTATTTTCAAGACAACAACAACTAGTCCTCAAGCAAGATGACTTTACAGTACCATTTGTCACAATTCATTTAAATGTGATAGTTAGGGCAACCATATGGGTTAGCTAGGCTTTACCTGGAATAAGAACAAACCTCTTGCCTTTATGACAGAGCAAACCTTTTATCTTTTGCAAGTTGGAGAAAAGCACTCACCAAATTAAGATCTTAACCTCCCTCAGGAACTGGGAGATAAGAATGCTATCTCTCTTGACATTCAAATTCAAATTGACATAATGTCCCTTGACATTATTTCAAATAAATGGTTCCTATATTTCAAATAAATGGTCCCTACAAAAAACATTACAGGTTATAAAGTTGCCAAAACTTCTGTCTAGTTTTCAAAAGGTATATATACATTTCAAAGAGAGGACAGAGGTCATAATTATAAATTTTCTAAAGTAAGAAAACAGAGAAGGAAGAAGTCTCTTTATTTTCCACAGGAAGAATAAAGCCTCGTATTTTTAATTTGTGTTTGTTCTGTACTAGTGTTGAAATTTGTAAAGGGAAACCTTGTAAAATGGAATCGGGAGGCCCAAAGGGGAGGCCAGAAGTGGGGGTGCTGTCAGTGATACCACTCATCATGAGTTACAGGAAGAATACCACCAGAAGAATCCTCAAGGAGGAAAGAATCATTCAGTAGAGACCCTGACAGAGAAAATGTATGTTGAATCCATGCAACAAATTGACCAACTTTACAACTTAGCCAGTTACTGATACTGTCAACACCCTGAACTCTTGCTTTTACCCAGTTGACTTTTGTTGAAAACTACCCCTCCCAACTTCCTCCTTCTTCTCCATAAAATAAAGTTTCTTTCCTTTGTTTTGTTGTAGTTGCCAATAGTTTTGCCATAGCTTGCATGTCCTGAATTCTCTGCTATTACTGAATCAACTCAATTTTCTGGTAAAATTAATTTTTTTAAATAAATAATTTTGACTATTTATTGTCTAGTTAACACTATAAAGTTTTACAATTTTATTAATTTGTTTCAAAGAATCAACTTTTGATTTTGTTGATTTTCTCTATTGTTTTTCTTTCTTTCTTTATTATTTATTTATTATTTATTTATTTCTCTTCTGATTTGTGTTTTTTATTCTCATATTAATATAATTATCCTCACCCTCTGGATACTATTTGAATGAAATTTATTTTTTCATTTTTTCACCTAATGCTCTTTGAGTTTAAAGTTAGTCTTTTATAAGGGATAGTGTCCAAAATCTATAAAGAACTCACCAAACTCCACACCCAAAAAACAAATAATCCAGTGAGGAAACAAGAAGAGATGAATAGTTTTCCAAAGAAGACATTTAGATGGCCAACAGACACATGGAAAGATGCTCAACGTCACTCCTCATCAGGGAAATACAAATCAAAACCACACTGAGATATAATACCTCACGCTGGTCAGAGTGGCTAAAATGAACAAATCAGGAGACTGTAGATGTTGGAGGGGATGTGGAGAAACGGGAACCCTCTTGCACTGTGGGCGGGAATGCAAATTGGTGCAGCCACTCTGGAAAATAGTGTGGAGGTTCCTTAAAAAATTAAAAATAGAACTACCCTATGATCCAGCAATAGTACTGCTAGGAATTTACCCAAGGGATAGAGGAGTGCTGATGCATAGGGGCACTTGTACCCCAATGTTTATAGCAGCACTTTCAACAGTAGCCAAATTATTGAACGAGCCTAAATGTCCATTAACTGATGAATGAATAAAGATGTGGTTTATATAAACAATGCAATTCTACCTGGCAAAGAGAAAGAATGGAATCATGCCATGTGCAACAACACGGATGGAACTGGAAGGTATTATGCTTTTGGAACTGGAGGGATGGAACTGGAAGGTATATTTGTCAGAGAAAGACAAGTGCCATATGTTTTTACTCATATGTGGATCCTGAGAACCTTAACAAAAGACCATGGGGGAAGGGAAAGGGGAAAAA